TGCCGACTTCAGCTTTAATTGTTAATGCGACCCTTTTACACCACCGACTGAACAAAATTAAGCATTGCTTGGTAATTGGTTGACCTAAATTGGTATTATCCATTTGTGTACTTACATTTAACTGCTGACCGCTACTCAACCTAATTCATTTGTGAAATATCAACTGATTTGATACCTCGGAGTTCATATTTTGACTATGATAATGTGAGAAATGTTGAAGGTGTCTAAATATGTATGTGCACACATTCTGATATAAACGCTTCACATTACTTCATGTCTTCAAACAATCCAGTTACAACTTCAGACTGATGATGAATATAAATAATATTTTGCACAATTTAAATATAAAGTACAATTAGCCAGTGTATTTCAGCTCATTAAGTCTTTATTCTCTAGAAGGTACAGTTCTAAAATAAAAACAACTTAAAAACAAAGTTTGAAAACAAACCAAAAATAAGTGTCAAAACAAAACTTAAAAAAGTAACAAAGCATATGCATTTTATACTACATATTAATTACAGAACAGTCTACTGTCCAAAAAAGGCACTAAATTCTGTAATAAGAGATACATGATCAGACTATTTCAAGTTAATACAACAGTGATATATTTTCATTTTTTATACTCATAGAATATATTTATATATTTTTAATATATTCACATATTGAACATGGACAGATTAAAAACACAGTCAAAGTGTTCCCTCGTTCTTTCACGACAGACTTCTGTTCCAAACACATTCCAACACTAGCTTAATAAAGACTTCTGGGTAAGTCACAGGGCACAAGTCCATCACATTGTGCCTCAATACTGTTTCTAAGAAAGCGTTTAATGAGGGACTCTCTGTTAGAAAGATTGGGCTGACTGTGTCCTATAATAAAATATACAAGACTACATGACTGCTGTGTAAGCTCATGATAATTCACACTAAAATTTAGGTTGGCAAAGACTTTTTCAGGGACAATTCTAAACCTTTTTTTAGCTGAATGTATGATTTGGCAGTTTGCAATACTGTTCATTGTCTCGCTATTATAGCATCTAATATTTTGATGGAGGTTCAGTGAACTGAAGAAAGTTAAAGAACTTGAGACCAGGGCGAGTTGTCACACAGGGAAGTTATCACAACGACTGTATTTCAGTAGCCAAACTGTAACATTTTGAGTCAAAATTGCACAATTGCTACAGTGATGTTCCCCGCTGGATTCAAACCATCCAACCATTTCATCACATTTTTTTCAAACAGCCGCTAAACAAAAAAACAACATTTGCATACTGTACATTCAGACAAGAGTCAGTTATATAATGAAAGTCGATTTAAAGGTACACTATGTAACTTTTTTTTGTTGTTCAAAATTTCAAAACATCAATCCTTCTTCCAAACGTGTTTTTGTCTTACCCTGATTTACTATGGTCAACCCAATTTTACATGCGCCACTCGCCAATGCGTGTCTCATAATATCCGTAAATATGGAAAAGAGGTGTGTTCTTAAATCTGCTTGGTGTGGGAGTGGCATAGGTTAGTTGTCACAACGAGTGAAAAAGGTTGACATGGAGCACGCTGAATCACCAGTTTTAAAAAACGCTGAACAGAGGAGAGTCTACTGAGGGAGCTCGTAATAAAACAAGAATCAACATCGCCTTGCAATATTGTAAAAGTAAAGCGGAGATGGCGTTTTATTTCTCAATAGGGGAGCAAGGTATTTTATTTAACAGATAAATTGCCATATGTAGCTCTCTAACAGAGTTAATTGTAAAGCATTATCTATTGTGAAGGGTTATTTCATTATGGTGGTTGTAATGAGGCGTTGGAATTTATTTTAAAGTACCCATGTCTATTAATGGGTTTAGCTACAGTAACGTCTTCAGCTAGTCAGTTTGAGATCCTTTCCATCTAAACTGGTTATGTCTCTCAAGCCTAGTAGTGAATGTCCACACAGTTACGCAGTCGAAGTACAACCAAAACAACGTTCTTCCACAAACAAATAGGCAAATTTGTCTTTTAACCGATAAAAGGCCAAAAATTACATAGTGTACCTTCAAAATTTAGATTGGGGCAAGTTGTCACAAGTTTTTTATAGGTTGGAATTTTATAAAAATTCATTACAATTTCTGTTAGCCAAAACAATGATTTGACATTTTTGCTTTTACTTTTTACAGATTAATTTTTTTTTATGAAAAGCCTTTAAACATAATAATATAATACTTCTAATATAAACAAAATATGCAGCAGGTTGCCACTGTGACAACTTACCCCATATAGTGTTACAAGAAGCGCTTGTCTGCAAGGTTTGTGTCTATGCAGAAATGACCTTTCAACAATAATCTCACGCTGACAAATAGTCACTGGAGTAAAAAGTGTGTCAACTAGCCCTGGTCACCCCTATAAAGGAAAACATAGCAACCTTTCAACCAATTTACAAGGCATAACTAGAAAAACAAAGTCTCATTTGATGAGTTTTTTTCTGCTTGGCAGTATTATCGTAAGTGAGAAATTTAATTTCCAATTAATATTCTCTCCTAACATACAACATTTCTTGATACATATTTTAGCAAATAGACTCGGTACATTTATGATAAGCTTATGTAGATTTATGGAATAAATGTATCTATGAACTTCAGCGTTAAATTAAACGGCGTCACCCACAGTTAGTTTTCACAGAAATGACGAGTTGACATATCCTGTAATTTAAGTGCTTAGAAATACTTGCATCAAGGCTGAAGCCCAATTTCAATGTTCAAAATTCACGTTTTAATTACGAGTTAGCTAGTGTAGATCTCATCGACATAAATCTGTAGTCCTTACGCTCAATAGAAACAAAGGTGTGTTTATGAGTTGAAATGGTATTTCACACATTCTGAGAGAACTTTTGAAGCAGCTGATACTTTTCACAGGTTTGTCATCTGATAGCTATTTTGATAAGTCTTAAAAAAAGCTTATTTGTGACTGCAATGATATGCATTACACACAGAAAGCAGCTTCCTAAAAGGCAAAGAAGAAAGACAGTAAAAGGTAGGAGAGGGCCCGTGGTTAGTATCTCCTTTCCTTTTTTTAAAACAAGCACCCTAATTCTGAAGCACAAATGAAAATAACCTGAAGTAGTCCATCCCTCTTATCTTTCTTTGAAACAGTACCAGATAAAAGGGGGGGGGGAAAAAATGTATGTTGGGGTAAAGAACCCAAAGCACCATAACCCTCCCCCTTAAAGTGACATTTTATGATTATAAAAAAAAAAAAAAAAAAAAAAGCAATTACATGGGATTTTTCTTAGAGTGGTCAAATCCACTTTAATTTCGGGAACTAACTGTTATTAATCCCCATGGAGGGGAGTTATCATCACTTTCCAGAGAAACCCCATATTTGGACACGAGGGCAAACACCAACAGGTTTTTGTATTGGAACGTTGTCATCCTGATTGTCAAGTGTTTTCCCATTCGCTGAGACAAAAAAATATCCCAATGCTACAACATTTTCCAGCCGTGTGCTGCTGAAACGTTTGCACAGTTATTGGCCGAGTAGAACACTTTGAGGTTATATACGTTCAAATAAACGGCTGTTGTCTGATTGCTTTTAGAGAGGCCTGCAGAAGAGCCCAACTGATTTTCTAGTCTGCTAATGCTGAAATATAATGGCACAATCTTCACGAGACGGCTTTAGTTTCCAGGCGGCCCCTCGATGCCTCCCTGCAGAGATGCACAGTTGTGTAGCGGCAGAAACATAAATAAGCTGCCGCCAGTAATTAAAAGTGCAATACATAATTGCTGAAGCCAGCAGGCCGGTTATGGTATGCAACTATACAGTCCTATGCAATTTCTAATGTGACAACCAGGGTCCAGAATTAACGTTTCGCCAATTTCATGGAAACAAATATTTCATTCTAGTAGGCATAAAACTGTATTTTGTTGGACTTGAGATAAAACATTCTTATCTCAATTATAGTTTAATTATTTAGTTGTTTTTCCAGCGCCGTCATCCCAGATAAACTGGAAGAAGTTTGAAGACGCACAAATAGCAACAGATACCATTGACCGAAAACGCTTGCATTAGCGAGGGCAGAATGCCGCACTTAAGACATGTAATATGTTTAGTTATGAGTTATAACTGATTTTTAAGCACGTTTTTATCATTTTTTTGCTTGTAGTTTAGATATTGTAGTGATGATGCTTCAATTAGCATGCTACACTTTGGCTGTAAGACATTGTGCATGATGAAACCTTTTCCAGAGAAGTTGCGTATTTAAATTCATCTTGTTTAAACACGATCACTACAGAAATATACATATTCAGAAAGACGTCTTTGGCTGATGCACTGTGTATCACACTGTTTTTTTTGTAGCATTTTAGCCATTATTAAGATGACGTATGGAGTTAAAATAACTTTTTAAATAATGTTATTTAAATGTCAAAACTTTTAAAACACTTTGTGTTCTATACAATTGTATTGCACTTCATCTAGAGCTGATTTTTAATTTTTTAATTTAGCATTTTATGTAAAACGGCCACAAAAAAAACTGTTGAAATTCAGCCTAATTATACAGAACTGGTTAATAAACTTTAGTCGATTTTTGAAAATATGTGACCCGTGCTGGCAAAATGAGTGACAAGGAGCAAATGTTTTTTAAAAATTAGTTGTTATTTCACATTCTCTATTAAAAAACCTTCAAAATTATGTATGATGCCTTATACCGTACCATACCATACCTTACCTTAAAATCCCTGGTAATACCACCAAATTCTGCTTTTTTTCTATAGGAAAAATACTTTTTTTCCCCATGATACCGCAATTGTTTGATTAACAATAATGAGACAGACAGCCTATATATTAAGACCTACTGTACTGCACGGATCTAATATATTTTACAGATTAGATGATTTTCCCCAACAGTTAACCAAACGTTCATTTAAGACATAACAGAATACTTGCCAAAACAGATATTTTGAAATACTGTAATTCTGTGTATACGTGTATATCGTGATCGCACGCGTTTACATCAGCATGAGTTTGAAAATCACATTTCATTGGTTCACTCATGCCATCGAGAATTCGCTATGAATATTCACAAAGTTGGAATGCTGCGCATTACATTTACAACGATACCAAACTTGTGTTAAGGGGAAGCACCAGTAGTCGAGAAGTGAGCAGAGAAAAACGACAATTTTTCATGGATTATTAAAACAAAGGAAAGATTTAGGAAGGTACACCTCTCAGAAAACATACAAATAAAGATCATTTTAGATGTTTAATTGCTATTTGGAGCATTGGGATCACTAGACGAAGGCTTAATGAACTCATTTTTGTGAAAACCACAAATTCGACCAAAATGTACATATTTCACTTGTTTTGCCAGTAGCTCGTAATTAGCCCGTGCGCATTCCGACTCATTTTGCCAGGACGGGTGGGTCACACATGTAGTTTTAATCATCTCCCAACTATGTTACAGTTCTGAACAACTGCCCAGAAAGTTTGTTCTATTTACTCGGCAAAGCCGCTGGTACGCATTTGGTAGTAGGCGAGTGTTAATTTTGGACCCTGGTGACAAGTGTACAAGTTCAAAATGCAACTTCAGCAATGCTGGACTGCACGTAGATAAAGAAATAAGTTAAGAAGTGAGAGAGAATATGCTTCCCAACACACTTTCCCTGGAGAGGCTGAGGCAGTGAACATTTAGTATGATACTGACCTCTTATATCCTGCAAAGAAGACTTCCTGAAAGAAGGAAAACTGAGAGACGAAATTCACTATCCAAGTATGGGATATGTCAGGGTGATATGACACATGAAGTTCCATCAACAGTTTAAACGCAGCGCCTCCCCGACCTGCTGCGCGTAGGAAAACGGTATTAATGAAAAGACTATTGAGGCGTCACATGTAGGAGGGAGGTGGAAGGAGGGAATGTTGGGTTAACAGTCTCCGCATTCACTTTGGTCATCCACGACCTGGCCATATTCCTCAATCCCAGTTCACGCACCAACTGTGTGGCTTTGCTTCCGTAACCCCACATTTCTCCTTCGGCTTCCCTCCCGCGCTCCACGACGAAGGGAAGATTCTCACTCGTCATCCAGCACCTCTGTCTTGATGTCACTGGCAGCTCCTCCCTGCCTCGCCAGAGCCAGGATGGTGTGATTGACAGCGGCCATCTCCACTGCCAAAGCTATGGGGTCCTGGTGTTCTATTGGGCCGGTGTTGTCGTCCTATAAGGGAGTAGAGAACCAGAGATTGGTCTGAAGCCCTCTGATTTTCCCCCGCAAACCTGTTTGAATGACTTTGTGTCATTAAAAGACAAAGGAGCATGAAATTGTTCATACAAACAAACCACAGTATATCGGCAACATATTTGTAACATCAGTTATTAGAGATTAAACGCTAATAATTTATTAAAACTGTTAAATGTAATCTTTAGCAAATCTCAAAATGATTTTATTTTTATACAGTACATTATAAAGTTGTGATGGCTAAATTAATTTGAAGTGTTTTTTTAGCGATAACATGACAATAATTATTAGCAGGTATTGGCCATTTTAATTATGGTACAAATGGTAAAAAAAAAGCCAATTTGTTATTCAAATATAGGCCATTCTAGCTAAATCATGTTGGGATGGTTGATATATTTTTAAAAATCCCTTACCATTCCCAAAACTTGGTCAGCAGCTACTTGCTCACCGTAGTCATTTCCATCGATCTCATCGCTGTTGGAATGTCCTCCTGGGCTTTGGACATCAATCCCATGACTCTCCAGGATTGCTGCTTCTTAGAAAAAAACAGACCTTGCCATAACATATCTGCGCCCATTAGGATGTACCCAACATGATGGAATGGCGTTTTCTGAAAGGCCATTTTTTCTGTAAATTCAATATTTCTGATGATTGCACATTTTGAATGAGACAGCTGCAGCACGGTGATAACAATGCAATGGAAATAATTACATTGTCCATATTCAAAATGCATTGTTGCGTGTAATTCGAGCTTTGTCTGTCCCCAGAGGGCTTCAACATTACCTATGTTGGCTCTTCTCTTAATTTCCTTCCGTCTGTTGGCAAACCAGTTGTAAACTTTCAGAGACGTGACCCTCTCAAGATCTGAAAGCTTCTTCCCTTAATCAAATCACAGCAGAGCTCATCAATAATGTCTGGGGCCTCGATAACAAGCATTTACACATGCATTCATCTTCTTTATGGGGGCTGTGTTTAAACATCCTACCTGGTTTTTGAATAACTGCATTGCAGGCGTTGGCAATTTCCTCTCGTTTGGCTTCGTCGGGGTACTGGTTGTCGTTGAAATAACTTGTGCAAAAATATAAGACAACAAAGATAAGATAAGATGAAATTATCATGCAATTGACACATTATATAGCTTTAAATATAAGCTTCTTGCATTATGTCTTTATTTAAACTAGATACTTTTAGATTTAGGTTGACTACGTTTTACGTTTGTCACAATACCAACATTTCAGTAGTCAATACCAATTCCAGTGAAATTTCACAATTCTTGATACTAGTAATGATATCACAGCAAAAACCTATACTATACGTACGACATGCTGTGTTTCATTTAAAGAGTTAATTATTAGTAAAACAATAACTTATTGAAATAAAACAATGTTTAAAAGATCAAATTAAATCAAAAGTCAAATTAAAAGATAAATTAACACTACCATGAGTTTCAAAGTCCGTTAACCTTAGTTAATGCATTGGTATCATGGAACTAGCAATGAACAATACTTTTAAAATTAATGTAACTTTATAGATATATTTTAACATTTCAACTTGTATAAATTAACATTAGTTAACTATAAACAAACAAATTGACAATCTATATACAATAGTATATTTATAAATGAATTAAATTTGATTGCTATACAAAGTGTTTGTTGTTTAATCCTGTTACCACCTGTGATTTTTTACCACATGTGAACCGTCTATTGAAAAATTAATTATGACAAGAGGATATTTGTAGAAATTAGCTTTCAATTCATTAGTCTAATAATTAGCATACATTTTCTAATAAGAATTTTCATGACCTTTAGGAAAAAGCTGGTAATGTCTAACTGGACTGTTAAATGCTAAAACAAAACAAAAATGGTAACACTACAATAAGGTTCCATTAGTTAATGTTAGTTAATGAAAATTAAAGCTGCAGTCCGGCGTTTTTCCTCTTTGTCGCCATCTCTGTTTGAAATCTGCAATTGCAGTCATTCGCGGAATTATCAACTTTACGTGAGTTGTACTTCAACACCCTCGACACGGCACAGCGCGGATGAACACAGTGTTTGAGGAGAGTGTGCAGCTGTCAGTCACCGCGCCGGTGTGGAGACTGGCATTCAGAATCACAGATTATTCTTTTTGGAATAATTTCCTTTTGGAAGACACATGCCTTTGGTGTGAGAGACCCGGGTTCGAATCCACTGTGAGACACCAATGTGTCCCTGAGCAAGACACTTAACCCCTAGTTGCTCCAAAGGCGTGCGACCTCTGACATATATAGCAATTGTAAGTCACTTTGGATAAAAGCGTCAGCTAAATGAATAAATATAAATGTAATGATGGAAAAGCCGTTATTTTTTTAAGTTTCTGTCACCATTTCTGAACAAGCTTGCAATTAGGCAATATACATCACATCAAGCTTAATGTGACAGGGTTTGGCTGTAAACGCGATTCATTTATGGTGTAATTCTGAACCTCTTGGCTTGCCATACTAATCCTAACCAAACGTAGAATACACACGCACCCCACACCACTACTAAATCTACCCTAACCTACCCATGCGTATCCTATGCACATAAAAACAAATTTCCGCATATAAATTGCACGATAAACACACTGCGTGCTATAGAGACGCATTTAGTGTGACCGGGTTGATATGGCAACCAAACTTCACTGTTGAGACAAACATGCGACGAACGGCAGGGGAAAAACTGATCAGAAAATGTAACAGAACATTGTAGAAATGTAGTGGAGTAGAAAGTATAATAATTGCTGCAAAATGTAACGAAGTAAAAGTAATAAGTATACACTATTGATTCTACTTAAGTAAAGTAAACATACGTGAAAAGTGTACTTAAGTAAAGTAACGAAGTATTTGAACTTCGTTCCATTCCACCGCTGCCGATAAGTTACGTATCCTTGTTTTCGCATGGGTCTGGTTGCAGTCTCTCTTTTTCTGTAGCCACTCCGAAGTCCGAAACAAGTCTTTTGCATTTTACAGCGGGTGAATCAGTTGTCACTGGTGATTGTCGTTTGAACCTTTCTGGGTCCGCCATCAAATTGATAAGTTTAATTATATCAAGTGCTGTGAGAAAAGGCTATAAATCTCCACCTCCAACATCCTCACACGCAATATAGCCTACTAGCCGAGACTCCTTCTTTATGTGTACAGATGTGACGTAATGACGCAAAGACATGCTCAAATCTCCCGCGGAAATCCACCAGTACCACTGGAATTAAAAACATTATTACAAGCTTACCGCTTTGAATCGAGCTAAGGCAAGCAGATAGTTTTGAACACTGGCTGGTTATGTATTTTCTCAAATATGTATTTTGGATCATTTTTAACCCCAAAAAAGCTACGGACAGCAGCTTTAACTGAAAATTAAATTAACAATGAGCAAATTCATTTTTTTTTTTTATTCATTCGAGACAACTTTTTATTGTAAGTTCATGTTAGCTCAAGTCCATTGAATAATATCAATAGAACTTTTCATTTTTTAATGTATCAGTAAATGTTGAAATGAACATTAACAGATGCTTTGGAAATATTTTTCATTGTTAGTTCATGTTAACAAATGTAGTTAACTAATGTTAACAAATGGAACCTTATTGTAACCTTTATAAGTGCCACAAAATAAAACCTACAAAAATGTACTTTCATGGGACGACACACAGTAACTTTCCTGACCATTCACACAATTTACCATATCCTCTCACCTCTCCATGACCGCCAGACACTCTTTCCTCCAGGTGAAGCGGCTTCCACGCCGCAGACGGAAGCTGCCCTGGGTGCTGCTAATGGGAGGGGGTGTTTGACGCCACTCCACAATGTCCTCCAGGGCCATCGGGGTGGGCCGCATCGCTAGTGTTGCACCTGGGGCACAAACATGACATGTCATCTCAGATGAAGTGTCATAAGGGAAACAGTCTGTGTGCTTCTGAGGACAGACTTTCTGGTAGACTAAAGCCTGTTCACTGTGTCTGAAAGCAACTGATAATAAGAAACTGGTGTTCTGGGTTTGGGTCATGAATCTTCAAATCTATTCACTGAACGTCTGAGATCACAATAATTATTCATGTTATGGCTGTTAAACAACAAGACATGGCTGATATTGCATATTTTGTGTAAAAAAAATTATAATAATAAAACTAGCAAACTCAATAATTCAAAAAATTTAAAATTTAAAATTCTAAAAAAAATGCTTCAATGAATTTAGGCATCACAAGATTATAATGTACAGTATGGAAATTTCAATTGCCAAAGATTCAATTTAAAAGTGTTAATTAAATTTGTGTTTTTAATGATTATTTTTAAGTGACCATTCGATGATGGCTACGGACATTTTTACGAGTTTACATGTTGCAATTCTGACTTTTTTTCTTTTTTGTGTGTTATAAGGTCAGCATTGCGTGTTTATATCGCGTGCCAAATAAAGTCCGTCTTTCTTTCGTTGGAATGGAACTTTATAACTCGCAATTGCGAGTTATAAAAAAAAAATGTATTGCGTGATGGAAACAAGCTTCCATATGAGAGGTAATGTAAATAGGGAAGATTAACATGCACACAACCAATAAATTAAATTAAACATATCCCAAATAGGATATGTTCCTGGAACATTTTTTATCACCCAATAATTTATATATTTTTATTAATTTTAAGGGTATGTTTAGAGTTAAAGTTAAAATGAATGACAAAAATGTTCAAATGAATGATAGAAATGTTAGAAAGACATTGGACATATTACCAGGTGTAGTTTTCTCTAGTTGGTACCAGCGGTAGAAGGCTCTTTTCTTCTGCTCGCTGAGGTCTGAGCCCTGCTGGAGCAGCCAATGAGAGATCCGGCTCTGACTGATACCTGCAGAGGAAGACACACAGCATATAAGGGCAAAATCTGACTTGCATATGTCTCTCCTAAGGCCAGACTTGACAAATCCCACCCCCAAAAAATGAAAATTGGTGTTGGAATGTTGGTAACCAGACAGTTGTCGGTAGCTATTGACTTCTGTAGTATTTTCTTCTTCTTCTACAGAAGTCAATGGCTGCCGTCAACTGTCTGGTTACCAACATTCTTCAAAATATCTTCTTTTTTAGTTCAACAAAAGAAAGAAACTCATACAGGTTTGGAACAACAAAAGGGTGAGTAAATGATAGAATTTTCATTTTTGGGTGAACTGTCCCTTTTAATAAAAGGCAGTCATAAGACATAGCTGACATTTCTTTCATAACAAAACATATCATGGTGTGCTTTAACTGCTCTCTTTTTCATTACACAAAGTAACTAGGACAATGTTAGTCACAGAATAAATCACAATATATTAGTTTTTCAATTTGGAAAACAAAAAGGCAAAGAACACTAACCTGTAACTTGGGCAACTACTGCCTGTGATATTCGCCGATTCCCCAAGAATGCTTTAATCTCTTCTTTAATTATAGCACTGTCCATTCTACAACGAGAGAGAGAGAGAGAGAGAGACACACACTGAGACTAAAAAATGACATCAAATGAAAAACCACAATACTATTGGTATTGCTATGGTTACTATGGTAAAATTTGGAAACCACCATTTGTTACAACAAAAATGTCCCTAATGCGTATCTTTAAAGTCACCATGAACTTTCACATTTTTATGGAATATTTCAGTATTTACTATCGTAATCTTTATTCATAACTTCTCCCAATTGAAGGGACATCTCTTCTCTGTTTATTGGGGCGAGGACAGTCACGCAGCGCAGGGACAATCTGTCACTCACATTAGATCACAGCAATAGCAAATCACAATGATCTAACGATCCAATCCGATTCCCGATAGGCAATCGGCACTATAAGTCCCGCCCTACATTTTTTCTTGTCCGAGAAGGCGTTTCACTCATATATATACGTCTGAATACAGAAGAAAAGATTTATCGCAGCTTCTGTTTCACGCCAACTTTAACTATGTTGTCATTTGAACAACCAGTAATTTAAGTCTCACAAACCACAAATAATACAGTTTCAGTTCAGATATGAGCAAAGTTAATGAGTCAAATTCAGTATTAGTCATTTTAGCCTGATAAGTTCACTTGTGATTCATGTAAAAGAACCATACATTAGTCAACTGTTCATAATTTGGACTACACTGCTTTCTTTTCTTTTTTTTACTGTGTATTATGTTGCACTATTCAGTTTTTCTTTTTCAAGTTCAACATTTTCAAATGAGAACAGGTTCTGAATAAGGGCTTTCGCACCGGAGGAACCTTTTCATAGTTCCTAGAACTATTGGCGGAAGAACCCGGATTTATTTGGCGTATTCGCACCACAGGAAACTAGGAATGATTTTAGTTCTAGGAACTCCTTTTGGAGGAACTAATTTAGCTCCTACTTCAGAGTAGGGTCTAAACCAGCACTATAGGGACTACCAGTGATGTTAGTGAACGCTGATTGACCGCACGCCTATATATTTATAGCCTATTATAGCCTATATATTTACTCCAGGAAATAACTCTACGAACATGGAAAACAGTGATGGATGGACCTCTTAACCTATACGCTAAGGAGAAAATCCAACGCAACTTTGAGGGGACCAAGCGAAACATGATTATGTATTTCTGCTCAGCTAGCAACACTGGACATTTACCACACGGCATACGCTAATACCTTTTCATATACTGTCTACTTTCTATGTATAACAGTTCTATCTAATAACGTATTAGACAGGACTGTTAGACAGATCGTAAACTAATGAACACGGAGAATGCGAGCACTGTGTGCTTAGGCTCTGGCGTTCTCAGCGCCGTCAAAATAAAGGTCCACCACGCCATCAAAATAAAAGTCACGTCAACAAGCGCGGCTTACGTCACTTAAGAGTTCCTATTGGCGGTGCGAATGCAACCAGGAAAATGTTCCTAAGGGAATTATTAATTCTCGGGAAACCACCCTGGTGGCTAGTTCCTAAAACTACACGGTGCAAAAGCCCCTAATAAGAACCAGCACTTGTTTCCCAATCTTGACTTCACTTTCCACCTCATGAGTTTATGACCCATCCGGAGAGTATCCCACTGACCTCATGAGCTCCTCGACTCTGTCATCGATGTCCACTTCCTCATCCGGATGCTCGAACGCGAAGGCCCTCGAGGAGGTGTTGCTAACAGTGAAGCGGGGCGGGGAGAGCTTCCCGTTAGGCATAGCGGCAAGGCCGTCCCGTCCGTTTTGGACCATGGGTGCTACTACCGGCATGGGGGTGGGGACCGTCGGGGGCGGGGAGGTGTCATAGCTGTTGCTAGGAGATGGTGAGAGGCCATTGCCGCGGTAACCGGTCTGTGTGGCCGTAGAGGTCGTTGAAGAAGAGGCTGTGAGGTTGTTAGTGGAGGTAGTGCAGGAGTTGGAAGAGGTGGTGGCGTTGCTGCTGTTGCCGTGGTTGACTACGGCCGTCGCGCTTCCGCCATGGGCGTGCCGGTAGCCGAACTTCTCCACGTGCTCGCGGTCCAGCCGGTCGAGGGTTTCCAGGGCGTGCAAGATCTCTTGCTTTGTCATGCCGCTTCGACGTAGCCGCTGCAGCAAGTCGATCTGCTCAATGGTAAAACGAGGCTCATCTGTATAATGGGACATTCTGCCAAGAGAAAGAGAGAGCCGCGGCATTAGAGAATTGATGTCGGAGGAAATCCTTAAACCCATGCTGATAAAACACAACACATGGCTGCATAGGGAATAAAAGTCATAATAACATAGCCTAGACTAAAAAAAACAATGCTTTAGTCTAAGAAATGCAGCGGAGGAGGTGTAGCAGTGGCCGCATGAGCTCTAACTAAAGCGCTATTTTTCCAAGAAAATGTCAAAGTCACCACACCTTTATCGACCAATCAATGCAACAGAAGTGCGGAGCCTGTCTGAGGTCAAGGCAAAGACACTGCATGCATTACCACAGAATTTTTAATAGACTTTAAACAGCAGAAAGCTGGAACACGTGAGGAGGGGGAAGGAGGTTAACTTTAGGGAAAACTGCCAAGAAAAATTCCATCTGAGGCGGCCAACCTACTTTCAGTAAAAAAGCTGAGGATGAATCTCCATAAAGGCATTTGTCTGAGAATAGTCCTCTCAATGCCAGGCTGACTGTTGCCCACACACACACACACACATGCTTTGCTGAATTGTTATCCCGTAAAACATTGTATTTCAGTTCATTTGGTCAATGTCTGAGTTTTGAAAGGAAGCTACAACTTATGACGCTGCAAATGCAAAACTCGTGCCAATGCAATATGCATTCCATATGGCACAGTGTAATGCAATCAAGTAAACGAGAAAACGGTGAGGCTCCTTTTAACAAAATGAAGATTTCAACTTCCCTGCGACATGTTCTTCAAGAATAAATTCTGCTGATGAGTACGACTGTCTCCTGGTGTCTGCGCTGCATAAAATGAATAAAAAAAGATTTCTGCTCACCCAAGCAAGCTTTAAAAAGCTTCAAAAGGTTTAATTATCCAGAGGCATCAGATACAGCAAATCAGCAAAAACAACAATAAATCCATCCAGGAGTTGTTGAGGATTCATTCGGTATCAGATCAGTCTAATTTTTATGCATCTCCAAAAGAACAATACATTAACCCTGTAACAAACAAGCCTTTAGTGGTAGAAGCCGAACAACGTCAAAAAAAGTCATAAAACGGTCTCTTATTGTCCCACTAATGTGTGTGCAGTGCACCACATATATATTTTCAGGATGACAAAATATGTCTTATATGGGAATAAAATAAAAAACCATCCCAAATGTAAAGGTTTCACCTTGAACATCAAATCTAGTTTTTAGTAATCTCTGCCAAGCTAGGCGATAAACCACAATGATAGAGGAATTCAGAATCGCCCATATGGAGACGTGTCCAACCACAGGCACGCACAACCACTTCTACTGAGATTAAACTGTCACTTGATGACAAACCAACTCAGTTAACTGGTCTGCACACATGCAGTTGTGTAGACAAATGAACTTGTAACAAATACATATTTAATAATGAAAAATGCATCACTACTTACAACAATAACAATCAAGAAAGATGCAATCTTGCTATATCAAGCATTAAATGCAAGGCTACTGGTGTGCATGCAATTTTAATGTTTTAATGCTCTCGGGAGCTTTAGAGTTTAGGGTGCTCATTGTTTCTTTTATTTGCATATTCATGTTCTAATCTGATAGATTTGGGCTACACTTTATTTTAAGGTCTGTGTTACAGTGTAATTATGCATTAAGTACTGAGTTATATTACTTAACTACATGTACTTACTATAGAATTAGTTGCATGTAATATGCATAATTTATAGAGTACCTACATGTAAGATGTGTAACAAGGACACTGTAAAATAAAGTGTTACTGATTATAGTTATGAAACTATAGTGCGGAGGCAGCAGTTTTCAGGAAACTCATCTGTTTTGCAGCAGCTCAAGATCAAAGTTGATTTTGTCCATATGCCCTGGTTCTCTTCATCAGAACGGCATCCAAAATATCCCGAATCTCGCTTTACGTCTCCACAATTTTAAACACTTTTTACAGCCCATTTGTTTCATTTGTAACTTGTGGTTATCTTTCAAATACCAGCTGACCTCTATAGGCAGCTGATAATTATTAGATGCCCATCAACGAAAATACAGCCCATCCAGAGACTGAAGTACCTGATGCCCACTGGTTCTACTATTAAAATTATATTTATAAACATATTGAATATGATAAGCGCATCTACAGAACAAACCAGATGAATATTTGAGTCACACAAAACTTAAACTGCATATTATCAAAGCTGTTTGAGATGCCATTCAAGGTTTTCCAGTTTCAGCTGCGTATTGATATATATTTTTTTAAATTAAGATATTAATAAATCAAACAAAACAAAAAGATTTAAATCACTGTCTGTAATTATAATCCATAAACACGATGTCAGGCGGGCTTATAATGTGCACTAATAACCCCTATTCCCTGCTACTAATAAGCCTACAATGCAAATAAACCTCATATAAACCTCCAATAAATTCAGTCGTGCTCAAACACATTCTTTATTTTATAAACTTTACCCCACATTATTTTCATTGTGAGGACAAACTGGGCACTCTGAGAAAATAAAGTGATATGGCATAAAAAGGGGTGTCTCACAAGCTGGCTGCACTAAAAAAGAAATATGGAGTTGATGGGAAGAAACTGAGACACAAATTGAAAAACAGAGTCCAGAAAGATGCTTAGCCAGAGAAAATGCAAATTGTCCTGAAGTAAGAACAGGTTGAATGGACCACGGTAAGACTAGAGTAACATCCACACTTGACTTTGCTTATTGTTAAATGGATGCTGAAGTTTCAAATACTAAAACCATATTCCATATTTTAGCTTGATCAGCAGTTTTTGTAGTATGTTGGGTTGGTAAATAAAAAAATGAATCTAAGTTGATATAATGTATTTAATGTATGTATTCTGAAGCCTTTACAATAAAAAAATAAGGTGGGATACACATGCAGCCTTAAAAATCCACTCTGGATTAATTTAAGCGATTTAATTTCGAGACAAAAATAACAATTACGAGTGTTTTGGATTAATTGTATATTGCATACACTGTAAGGGTATAAAATTATTCACATACAGTATCTATAAGAAAACATGGACAACTTTGAATTTGTGAGGTCTTAAGAGTGCCACTTTCCTTAATTAAAAACCACTGCAATTAAAAAAAAAATCACTGCATGAACTATCGAACCAAGATTTTACCATTCGGAATCGTATCCTTAACCCAATATACACCTTATACCTAGATGATATAGGATCCTGGCAACACCTTGTTAAAACACAAAACACAATAATAACAACAATAATAATTAAAATAATATAGATATATACAATACATAAATATATAATAATAGTCATAATAATTTATGAAATGAGGTAAGCATCAACACAACACACCAATGTCAACACAGTGTCAGTTGTTGCACAGTTGCAAGCATTTCTTTTCTAAACCCCTATCCCACCACAGAATGAGAGCAGATGTGACTTCGGATGCGATGCGGACCAGCAGTCGAACCGAACTCGTTTACCCCCGGGTGTCATTTGCACGTCAATGCATGTTTCATGTCTGCAGACAGATTTAACAAATGACGCCTTTCTTATAATTTGGCATCTCAGACTTACCTGATTGTGCGCGTGCGGGGCCTCCGTGCACCACAGCATTTATTCAACTCAACTGACAGTGTTTCCGTCCCTTGTAATCCCCGTCGCCAGACATGAACCAGCCAAATAGGACGATGTCCGACTCTCCCGCTACCTTTCCCTAATTTGATTTCATTTCAAGGCAAAAACTGATTCGCCTTTGTCTGACTGACAGAAGCCATATTGATATTAACAGAAGCGCTGCGGTGGTTTCATGGGAGTTGTAGTTCATCTCCGCGGGCGGGAAAGTGACACTCAATGGGATTTTGCCGAGCGCCGGACTACAAATCCAGTGGAATATGGTACAGTTTTATCCTCGATCATTTTTCACCAATGCTGCATGCATGAACAACAATGTTATTTCTGACTTTTTATTCGCTGAAACCATGACGACAGAATGTAGGATTTACTGCTTAAAATTTTCAATTCTATTTTCTGAAATATGATTTTAGGAAATTAGGTAATCGGGCAAATGTATGCATATTTTAAAAAATATGCATCCTCTGGAGTCTAAATTAATTGTTCCACGTGGTAATGAAAAAAAAGAAACACTCACGTAAATTCCATAAGATATATTTTTTTTAATTTTAGGAGAATCTGTAAAAAACAAAAAAAAAAACAACAACAACAACAACAACTAAAAGATAAAAATGTATCCTATGTTTGATTGTACTTGAAATCACATTTCTTTTCACCTGCAAAAAGGATCTTATGGGGGTTTTTTAACATCATGGCGCCCTCTAGTTGGCATTTACAGCAATCACCATGAGTTGACCTATCACAGTTATTGGCACTGGAAAATAATAATACGATCGATGTAATAATAGGCTATGTAATACGACATGAGATTTTTCTCGAGCACTGTATACATCTTTTAAAATATCTATTTCATTTTTATAGTAATAATAAAAAATAACAACAACTGTAGTTACGTTATGGTGGAAACTATGATAAACTATGGTAACTTTCTGTAAGTGATACGCCATAGGGGACACCGGGGCTAGTTGTCACAAGAAATATATCCCAGTATAAAGTCTTGAAATAAGTGTTTTCATATATTGGATTCAAATAATGAGTTCAGTAAATTTGGTGAATTATGTCGGCATAATGCACAACTAAATGTACAATATCGTCTTATTTTAGTACATTTGGGTAAACTGTCAATTTTATTAAAAAAAATCATTCAGGGCAGATTTTTGTTGGGGCAGATTTTTGTTGGGGCAAGTTGTCACCTTGTTTTTAATACAATTTTATAAAAAAAATTTAAGAAGAGAAAACATTTATGGTTATGGTCAGTGAGTTTGTGTTTAATAAATGGTATAGGCCTATTCATTGAATAAAGCTTATTTGGAGCTTGGACTTTATGTATGTGCCTGTGTTTTAAAATCAAATAATAGAATAACACTTCTAGAGTCGATTATAATTGTGCAAACAGATTAAGAAATGTGCTAGGTATGCAATAATATGACTGGTTTGGATCATTGACTTCCACTCACAAATTTTGACAGCAGCGACCGAAAAAATACAAGATTATGCTATATGAAACATCTATTTTCTTTACTGTTTGAAAAATTTTAAATGGTTTGCTGGCTTTCACATCACGTCTGATATTCTCTGACGCTATCGACACTATAGTGGGTGTGAAAGCTGGTGATGGTCACATGTCTGCAGGTGACAGATGTTATAGGGAATGTCATGACACACACACACACACACACACACACACACACACACACACACACACACACACACACACACACACACACACACACACACACACACACACACACACACACACACACACACACACACACACACACACACAGCATAACAGGAAAGCAGATCAATTTAGCTCAAAGGGAAGTAATCATTCTATTTATAGGGAATTTTGACAGAATCGAATCACTGTTCGATTACGGCTGATCAAATGAATCGTCCAGCGATCAGTTGCAGAGTATAATTTAGTCAGAATTTCTATACAGGGAATATGATACGTTTTCAATCAGACTTGATTGATATCAACATTTGGGAAATGAATTAGCCTTCACACACATACCAATCATCACATACTTCCTATAAAATATTCAATACTCAAAATGGCATATGGCAAAATGGCCATAATTCATGATATAGAATTATGCAATGGAATTATATGATTACAAAACCTCTTAGCATCGTTTTGGAATGATCTGATGCATTTTGATATGTAAAAGCAGTCTCTGCCATTTAGAGGGTCAAAGAGTCTGTTTTATCTACTCTGTCTTATTAAAAAATGATTTAGCCTTAACTTTCTCATTCTACCCTGTAAACTAATAAGATAAGATAAATATATGAGAAAATATGAATTTTTATTTATTTATACAAAACTCAATCATCTCATGCTTTCCTTGTGATTAGATAGTCTGGATAGTCAGTTAAGTGCCTAAAATTGACAATGTTTTGGCTTGTATGGCTTTCCTAGTTGATGCAATCGTCCATGGAGGAGTAGCTCAGACTTGCTGGTGCCACAATGACAGAGTGCCTTGTTTTATGGTTTTGTGGAATTCTGCTTCTTGCTCAGTTTTGATCATGTCATCACTGCCTGATTTAATCTAATGTCCTACCAACCTAAAGAAATGGGTCTTCACGTAGGCCTATACCTGTAGGCTGCAGCTCAGTCACAGTGCGTGAAATAAACTCCAGTCTATTATGACTTATTGATTTGCACAACAAACCAATTCATCTCACTTTCTTGCTCATACATCCAACAGACGGTATAAGCATTGTCAATCACAAAATAAATAAATACATGATGAAAAATCAGTCTGTGTTGAAATTATTAGATCGTTTTTTTTTTTGTATGTACACTGTAAAAAATAAAATGCCTTTTTTATGGTAAAATACCGGCAGCTGTGGTTGCCAGAACTTTACCGTCAAAAATATGGTACAGACGTTATTGGTTTTACAGACTTAACTTAAAATTTACAATAATAAACCGTATTTCATTATCTGATATAAAGTTAATTTACCAACCTATTAATGTATTAATATCTGTTTTGTACCATTGTAATACACTGAATAACAACAATCATCACAGCAGCAGTCAAGTAACATAATAAATCAAAAGTCATCACAGGTAGCTCTACCACAAGAAAGATAATACTAATATAAAGAAGCTGCACACTGTCATTCGCACAAACACTAAACAGCATCATGGTAACACATGAAATTTAAAAAATGCAATAAACATTAATTTAACAACATTAAATGTAACATAAAACTCTAATATACATAACTGATAAGAAAAGAACTAAGAAAACTAAGAAGAAACATAGTTATTTCAACAAAAATACATCAAATGTGAAGTGTCACGCAGGGAATTGTGGGAATGTCAATTTACGGTTTTTCACTGTAAATTATACAATGAGTTGTTCTTTTTCACTTTCAAAAACAGTAAATTTAACGGTATTTTACAGTAAAATTACATTAAATGTATACCGTTAGATCTATCCAGGGGCGTAGAATTTAGTAGGGACGCTAGGGACGTGTCCCTACCAATATCCAGTGACACTGATATATCCCTAGCAAAATTTTCGATCAAAACTTTAAATATATTAAATATTGATGTGTCCCCACCAATTTCAAAATCAAACCTACGCCACTGGATCTATCACAGTTATTTAACGTATATAATAAGGAAACTTTTTGTTAACCAATTAACAGTTTTTCACTGTATCATTTTTACAGTCTTTTACCGTTAAAATCACGATAATTTTTTTACAGTGTATGTTTTCTTAATCCTTCCGTTAAGTAAAAATAGTCCCCTGCAATGTACAAAACAACAGGTCTACAAAATAAACACCACAACAATATTTCAGTAATATTATGAATATTTAAGTCCTCTGAGGTACAGTAACTGAGATACAAGATGGGGTATGTGACATATGAGACAGAGAGAGCGAATCCGCGAAATAATACGGGAGACATGAAAGCAGCGCCATGTTTCAGTTATGCGATGAGGGACTGAGGGATGAGTGTTGCCACAGGTAATGTGACCGCTGAATGTTATATAACAACCGGAATTATTACCAAAGAATTACAAAGATAGCCTAAATAAAATGAAGTATATGGCTAAATAAATAATTCACATCACACACATTTACAAGATTTCCCAGCAAAACGGGCAATATTTTATTATAATTTCTCATGCATTACACCTTTACAGTCATTCATCTCAACATAAAGTGAGCAGGTTTCAAAGTTCAAGATACAAAGTGCTGGAGAAAATGATCTGATGTCCTGCATCATACCCATTTTGGCATTGCACATATTTCATGAACAATTCAAAACGACATTGTTGGTTTCATTCAGTGCACTTCTGATACATTTCAGTTAATCTGAAATACCTGATAAGCAATTCAAGCAATCAATAGGCTTCCGAGCCATGAATTTTATACAGCTGTTAGACACTCTGAAGTATCTGCAGTAGTCTACAACATCATGAAGCAGATGGCATGCGAGCTGTCTGGCTCTCATAATCGCACCTTATTCCTCGTGCCTGCCCCATAGCTGCACATCTGCACAGTGAAGAGGACAGTAAGCTACTGGTGGATGAATGTAATTTGCATCACCTTATCACTTGGTTTATTTACCCTAAAAGAAATGCTCCATTCAGAAGCTAAAAAAGTCTGAGACCACACTGAAAATATATTTTACACACTGTAAAAAGGAAAAGAAAAAAAGGATATGATCAATAAGTTATGACAACATATGTTTTTACATTGCGTTAACTCCTAAATAAGTTAAGCAATTTTCTACTTCTAATCTATTTTTCTATAAGTTATACAAGATTCAACTTTTTTTAAAGTCAGTTTAATGTAATTTAAGTTTAAATGACTTAAACAGCCAAGTTAAGTACTCAAAAATGTAAGGCTGCAACCTTTTCTTTTTACAGTGTATATACTGTATACCACATGGTCAGTAAGATTTTCACTTATGCTCACCAAGGCTGCATTTATTTGATAAAAAAAAACTGTAAAAACTAATATTGTGAAAGAATTTTCAGCATCATTACTCCAGTCTTCGGTGTCACATGATCCTTCAGAAATCATTTTAATTTACTGATTTGGTGCTTAAGAAACATTTCTTATTATTATCAATGTTGAAAACAGTTGCTTAATATTTTTGTGGAAACCGTTGATACATTATTTTCAGGATTCTTTGATGAGAAGAAAGTTCAAAAGAACTAGAAATATTGTTATAAGTTATAACATACATGTCTTTACTGTCAGTTTTGATGAATTTAATGCATCCTTGCTGAATAAAGTATTAACTTCTCTCCATATAATAAAAAACTGATTGACACCAAACTTCTGAAGGGTATGTGTAATACAATTAATACTTAAGATTCCGGACTATAGGTCACTAATCAAATTAGTAAATTTGTGACACTGATCATGTGACTCTGTACAGAACAAATAGTCAGATGTTAACAAAATGCTCTTATGCTCATAATTTAACATATATTTATTTACGAAAAAGAATTCAAAATATATATTCACCCTATGGTCTCAGACTTTATTGATTAGACTTGTAGACTCCACTCACCCCGTTCTCATCCCAAGGCGTCATATACTGACGCTTTTGCCAAAGCGTCTCCAACGCACATGGCACCCTTTAGCGTCAATATGAGACGCAGATATATGGCGCCTCCTAGTGGTCTAACCCTAACACTACCCCAGACCTAAACCTACCCATAACGAAGCGTGTTATATTGACGCTAAAGGGTGCCATGTGCGTCGGATGTAGACGCTTTCTCAGTATATGACGCCTTGGGATGAGAATGCGTTGCAGCACTGTAGATCTACCAGCATGGCATATATGCATTTTTATTTTTACGGTATATAGGCACAAAGTGCTAGTTTGGCAAAAAAAAAAACAACAACAAAAAAAACCCCAGATTAAACTTCCGAAAAAAAAAAAAAAAAAAGTGTTAACACTGTATTTAGTGTCCTTGTTACATGTTACATGTAGTTACTAACTATAAATTATGCATAATTACATGCTAACCCTAAACCAACCTCTATTCCTAACCCAAACCCTATAATAAGTACATGTACTCAATTAATATTACTCAGTACTTAAATGTATAATTACACAGTAACACGGACACCTTAAAATAAAGTTTAACCAAAAAAGTTGAGTCAAAATATGGTGCAGCAAAGCCTCTCCCAGCACCTCAATCAGACCTGAGCTTCAGTTCTACATCTTCTTTACCTTTAGAGCAGCAATGGATATTTCAGCTACAGCATTCAACACATATTAGAGACTGTGTACAAGCCTACATCTGTATTATGAAAGTAACAATATAGCTAAACTACGGGCAGTGCAATCTGGCTTTTTCATGAAGTCATTGTGATAGTTTGTTTGTAAAAGTAATATTTATCTGTCCGCACTGGTTTCTGCAAGCCTATTATTCATTATGCCCAGGGCTCCGACCCCACCAGAGAATCCATTGTGCCTGTTTGTTGAGCCGCATGCCCGCGGATGGCCGTTGGCCGTCTCAGACAGTTGTTTCTGCATGATCGCCAAGTTGACCTTATTAGCCGCCAGGAAGTCTCTCATGGAGATCATCTCTCCAGACATCCTGCGTCCATCCGTCTCGCTATCATTCACTGCATCCGTGTCTATGGATATGTTACGAACACGTGTTCGGAGATGGCCCGGCATGACCGCGTTCCTACGGGGCCGGAGAGGCCTCCAGGGGCAGTGATGGCAATGGATCTTAAGCTTTTTCAGGAGCCAGTTGAGCACCTGTTTGATAACAATGGAAATGACGTTGAATAGCGAGTAAATGCAGCAAACGCCCATTACAATAAAGAGAAAATTGGCGATTCGGTAGATGGTCTGGTTCTCGTATCTTGCTCGCTGGCTGCTCACCATATCCCCGAAACCAATGGTGCTGAATGCCACAAAGCAGAAGTACAGCGAATCCAAGTATCCCCATCCCTCGATTGAGGAGTACATGGCCGAAGCACAACATGAAATGATCATTGCTGCCACGCAAAGAATCAACATCACACAATACACTGAGGGCTTCCATCCTGCAAGACTGTCTTCACGATCTAGCCTCGCATTGCTCGAGTCTCGTCTGCTGTCGTGAGGTAAAACTCCTTTGCGTCGCCGTTGGACTTCATAGCAGGACTTGAGCACAAAAGCCAACACAGTTATTATTCTTTCCAAGAACAGATTGAAAAATAAAATGGTGGCTGCACAGCCAATGAGGCCATAAAAGATCAGGAAGATTTTGCCTCCGACTGTGGCAGGTGTGGTCATTCCAAACCCTGTGGGAAATACAAGAGGAAGAAATGTTAAGTTATACCCACACTGTATATAACTGAATAAACCATATCTGCCACAGGCTGTTTATTGAGCTGAATCGCCACAAACTATTTTCTTTGTCCTCAAAGCTGGAGAAGAAAGTGTTGCTATTGGTGACAGATCTTGAAACATCTCCCACCTTTCCCATGTCACGCTGATTGAAATGCAAATAACAAGTGGATTGGATTATTATTCTCATAAATGTTTCCCCCCCTCACATGAAAGCCACCATTAAGGAGGACATTGTGAAGACAAGCACATTCATATCCTCAGCTCAGGTCTGAAGACTTTATCACATGAATTTCATAAGGTGCTTCCTGAGAAAGTCAATGAAACCAAACTAAACAGCAACAGTTAGATGAACACAATGTGGTGAATTGCAAGACAATAAGCTACAAAGGTCTGCATCGTTTGGAAATTGTGAGGTTGTGGGTTCCCCTTTGGGGAATTTTCCTGGAATTAGTGAGGAATACAGGCAAGGGAAATTGGGAAATTGTGTAAACACATCTTTTATTGCATTACCTGTAGTGTTCAATGCAGATAAACAGCATTTTAAGTTAACTTAATGTCAATATTTGCCAACTTGGAATAGTAAGATGTATAGAAACCGAAGGAGGAAATATTTTCGACTGACTTCATATAACAATCCTTTATAAATCTCAGTTCTTGATACTGTACCAGGAGCAAGGTTTTTAAAAGCTGCAAAATTTCAAGCTAAGCCCAACATATTCACTTCAATATCTGTTATAATATCAACTAGCCTCTAGTCTATAAGCAATAACTTTACACTAATAGCCACATGCAGACAGTGACCTGCATCAATAGTCTAACATCTCTCCTGCTGATCAAGATAACAGTTTGCAACACTTTATAGTGTTCATGCATGTTTCAAATATATTTAAACTAAATTTAATAAATTCAATTTTAATAATAAAAATATATATAATTGTAATCACAAGTATCTCCACAAATAGATAAACATAAATAAAAAACAACAACGTAACACTAATGTAAACTGTAACTACAATTTATGTGGTTGACTTGTATTAGTAAATAATAAATTATATTTATCTTTTTTTTGTTGTGTTTGTGGATTCACTTACATACATTCATTCAGGGACAGCTACTTAAAGACAGATTTTGGACATATGGTCACCATGTCCTCAAACTTATATATATATATATATATATATTTTTGGGTTGGGGGGGGGGGGGGGGGGAGAGGGGATTTTGGAAAGACTATAAGAAATATTCACCGTATTAAAAATTATGACCACACACACACACAGTAAATAAATTGTTAATATAAACCATTATTGTGAATGTAGGTAGGCTATATTAATACAATATATCTAAAATAACATACATTTACGAATAACCTACTTATACTGAATAGTCAGGATATATGTTTATGCTTTAATCATTCTTACCGATGGTGGAAACGACAGTACCGACAAAATAAAAGGCTCCAGTAAAATCCCAGCGTGGTCTGAGGGTGTCCACCCGTATTCCCGCAATGTTCGCCTCTTCATAATGTCTCAAGAACTTCTCCAGATCACTTTTGTTGAGATTGTACTTTTGGCTGAAAAGCTCAAACCTCTGAGCCCACCTTTCCTTCGCCTGTTTCTCCTTGGGATGCTCCAGGGCTGAAAACACCGCGGCTCCGCACAGGAGGTAGAGGATGATGAGGAGCAGCAACATTAAGAACCTGGCATTATCTTCATTAGCAGGACCACAACAGCACGCCCCTCTACATGCCATTATGTGATACTGCTGGACAGGACTGGTAATAAAGTCTCCACATCTTACACTTTACGTTGGTGTACATGCAACTGTAAGAAACTTCGTCGTCTTCCATTATTCTTGGGTTGCATGTACACCAAATGTGCTGCATAAGCGCAATGATGATGAGAGATACTCATTCCATCCTCTGAGAATGGATTCAGTGCCAGAAATCCTGATAGATGAGATTGTGGGTGGATCTGGTAGTTCAGCTCATCTCATGTGATGCATCTCACTGGGTCTCATCGAAAACAATGTTTCGTACCTTGTTTCAATCCACTTCAGTCGCTGGTAGCCTACGTCCATCAAGTGGTTGCATGCGTGAGTTATGAAATATATTTTAAAATAAATGTTTACATGTACATGATTTTTTTGCATGAGCTAAACCTACTTTAGTAAAGCCTTCTGGCTCAACTGACAAACCTCACAAGTACTACACGTTCTCTGCGCTTGCACGAAACTATCGGAGCCTCGACGCATACGGCAAGCCATTTGAACAATTACACTTTAAAACTAACACATATTTCTGTTTTTTTTTTTTTTGCTGCTTGTTTTACTAGTATTATAACCAACTCTAATAGTTTACTACCAATCAAATTAGTCTAATAATGCCACCAGTAATTTGCTACTATTCACAATCCCAATAATTTTGCCATTAGATTCGGGGATCTGTAGTTCAGTCAGATGTCAAAAAGCAACATGACATCATGACTTTGCGTAAACATACACGCCACTTTCAAGTCAAGTGGCGTGTTATCTATACGCATTTTGAGCTATCCGCGTGTATGTCCACGCCGAAATCTTTTGCGTGTATGTCTACGCCATTAAATGTCCGAGCGAAACGAAGCAAAATCTATATCTACATCCGTGGAGCGATATTTCTTTTCCTAGGATGGTAGGAGAAGACTCATAAATGGTATTAACCCCAGTGACGGGTAGGTTTAGGGACGGGGTTGGGGTAGGTCATATATTTATATATACATAATACAGTACTATAACGTTAAGTCAAAGGCGTTGATAAACACGCTGAAAAGCGATTATGCGTGTTGATAGCACGCCAGAAATGAAAATACGAATTGGCATGTCATACATACGCCATTTCATGAGATCAGTCTGCAAAAAGTGTGTATTCACTTGTCAAATACTTATAAAAGTATAAACGTGAATACCTAATTAATAAGTAAAAAAGTTTTGAATGAATAGCAACAAATAGACACTCATACTTTCATCAGACACTTGCATGTTTTCCAATTATTACTGTAGTGACATTTTTACTAGCCATTATATGACAAGAAAAAAAAGGATCTTGTAATAATATGAATTAAGTATAGGTAACTAGGTTAATAAAACAAACTTTTCATTGTAAATTTACAGTAAAATACTACCAGCTGGGTTGCCAGCCACTTACTGTATTTTTACAGGATTACTACTGTAATCACCATTTACCATACAGTATCCTGCTTTAATATTATGTATTTTACAGTATTACAGTTTTGTCTATACAATTCTTTGCATTAATACAAAGGAATACTGTAATTACTGCTTTTCATATTGTACTTATATTGAATATGTCATAACATAACAAAAGTATGATATTTTAATTATTTAATGGCAAAGGAAATGGGAAACATCATACTCTGAATTTTAAAACATTTATTTTTTAAAGAAAAAAGCAGAAAATGGTCATAAGCTGAAATGTCAATAAAGTGCAGTAAACCATTATCAATGAAAAATACAACAGTCTTATTTAATTTTAACATTCTTCGAAATCTGGCCTAAAATCAGATTTGTTCAAAAATATATTCAGGGTTGATGTCAAAGGGCCTAATAAGCAGAAAAGCAAAGCCCTTTTCCAGCATTTTTGTGAACACGGGTAACATCAAAGCATGTGATCGCAGTGTGGTCATGTGTCCTGTTGCACTTCATAAAAGATGCCTAAAAATAATGCTTATAAATTTTTTTTATTGACAAAATAAAATTGTTCGGTCATTGCATTATTTGCCGTAAACCTGATTACGTTACTTGTGAAATTAAGCACAATACTAATGTTTACACTGGATCTACATAAGATGATCCAGCCTGAAATGACAAATAAATAAATACATTCAACCCCCCTTCCTTTTGTTTGCTAAACTTTCCAAAGCAGCTTGTAAGAATAATGTATGTTAACTTTTGCCTATTGTGAAACATCAATGTTCCTGTGTGTAAAGGCCCCGATATACTCACGGCGAAGTTCTTTTTTGTTCTTCGTTTAGGGGTAAATATATTGGTATCGAACATCCGACGACACCCACTCTGTTGAGAGCGGCGTTTGGATGAATATGGAAATATGTGCAGCGCACTTTCCTCTCTCAATAATAAAATAAACACACAACAAAATTGAGAAAACAGCAAGCATTTTTTAAATAAAGCATAAGAAAAGCATCTGATCATCATAGCAATGTGGATATGTTTGGACAAGCTCTGCAATTCGGCACTCTAGTAAAGTCGCGTCACAGATGGCTTAAAATCAAGCAGCTTTATCGTATTAAACATGAAAAAGATTGTCAGTGTCTCGTTTCATCAGAAGTACAACTTTATTTTCTACTATAAAGCAGCTCTCCAGTGTTCATGTTTTCACTCACGGATGTCTGATCTGGACCGACTGAACAGGCCAAATGAACAAGAAAAGATTTCCACGAGAAAAAAGGCGGAGCCTCAGCGCACAACTACCTACTATGTAATCGCCACAGACCAATGGTCGTACAAAGGTGTTTACCAGCAGGAGCGAAATTTTCGCTTTGGCAAGCTGTTTCAAACTCCCAAACCCCTCGAAGTTCGTTTGGGCCTGATTTTGTTCGAAATGACGTCACATCAGTTCGTTCTTCAAAATGATCACATTAAACCCCGAAGAGTGGACATAAAACACATTGGGAGAGAAGTTAAAATGTATTTCTTGACCTAGAAACTTGAAATGAGTGAATCAACCCCATAATGCAACACTTCTACAGTATGATACTGAATTACGAATGAAATGGGCTGAAAACAGAAAAAAAAAATGCTGTATATTTAGACATTCTACAGTTAGAAATTACAGTTTTACTGTAGCAAACCTGGACTAATAAATAAGAATTTGAATAGTCTCTAGTAAAAATTGTACATAGTCGGAACACTACATAAATCTAGACACTAGTTAGTTTCAAAGAATAAAAGTAAAAACAGCTTGCCACATGATGCCTTCATGTCTATATACAATCCTCACACATGCAAGAATCACAAAACATCTGTAGCCTGATTGTGCATATGCAACTTCATCAGTGGCACTACATGAAAAATGCTCCTGTAAAGTGTAGACCAATTTGTAAAATGTTGGAATATGTCCATAATTCATTTAATAAACTAAATCTGCTAAGAGGACAAATGTGTGAACTTGAGGAGAACTGTATTCATATTTACACTAAATTCAACTTTGGAACAGTTCTTTGGAAAAATGTTTAAGAAAAGTGAATATTGAAAACCTAAACTATGCGTTTAACATGGGGACAATTATTAGTAATAGAAGGGACTTATTTGGAATAGTTAACACAATAGTCAATCATTCGAATAATAAACATATAATGATCCTCCTCAGCCAGATTGGTATGTTAGGTACAGTATTATTCGAATGATCTGAGATCAATACTAAAAAACCTTTTTAGAATGGAGGAGAGCTCTAATATTTATCTGATCAAAGTCTAAAACGGTTCCAACAAATGTCACAGACGGCTGTGAAGGAGATATACATAATTCAGTTCCACCCAAAATTTAGGATTTTATTGTCATTACAATGTACAATAGAAACTCTACAAGCGACATACTAGCTGTAACCTTTCTGTACAGATGTGCTGGAGGCAAAAGTCCAAGTTAACATTAAAATAATGCAGAATCACATTATTTGTTGATTATAGGACGGAAAAAAATGGGGGGCCACAGGGAATTCCTGTATCAATGTAGTGCTAAATTCCAATGTTGCTAGGCAACATGACAATTTCAGGATAAGCAAGGAACAGCACCAATTGTTCTTTATTTTGAACACATTCAATTCATCAGTGATGCCGGGGGAGCACAGTCCTCCTAAACATATTCCTGCTTGACTGTAGCCGGGAATGAAAAGATCTATCCGCCCTTGGCACTCACCCAGAATTCATTTCAGAGAAATCAAACTACTTTTTTTTTTTTAAGGCCAATTTGAGATGTTTTCAGCAATTCATTTACCGTAGTTCTCTTTTTATCTGAACTCTACCTAAAAAATCTGTTTGAAAATGGATTTTTATAATAAAAAAAACCCCAATATAATTTCATGTTCCTGAATTGAGGTGTAAATATGATTGGGTCAAAGCAATTGACGGTGGTTGTTTAACTGAATAAAAACATTATTGGATTGCTATTTTCAACATACATTACTGGCTTTTAAGAAAAGCACAAGCTCTTTCTGACAGTGCTACTGAAAAATGTATTACATAGTTCAAAGATTTCTGGATGTAAAATGTAATTTATTTGGCATTTTTACAAAATATTTATGATAAATGCATAACTAAGCATCTCTACAGTGTCTATAACAACAAAAGACTAAAACATAGCATTAAGGGTGCACACTATTCGGGCGTACTGTATATGTACCTACCATTGCTGTCAAGGCTTAAAGGGTGTCATTAAGGTGGCTAAACAAGGGCGAACTGAACAGACACAGAGCAGATTGAGACGCTGGTGGTCTGATTTCCATAATAATTCTGTCTTTTACAGATGATCCCAGCGGCTTGAACTCCTCAAGAAGGTACCCATACATTTCCATGAGTGTCTGGGGCTTGAGTGTATGGAATATTCCAGATCCAAGGCTTATCTGCAAGGAGAAGAAAACACAACTGAAATGCAACAGCATACATTACTGGAAACCTGCTCAATGCAGAGTTCATGATACTTTGAGTCAGTCAATGCAGAAATACATATTTGCTCTGGGCCAACAAAGATTCCCGGCATGGAAGAGAAGGTTCTGACCTCTTCCTCAAGGGTGATCTCCCTTGACATATACTTACTTGTGGCATAACTACTATATGAAGGATCATGCACACACTGTGTGGTTTACTTAGTAATGAATTATAGGATATAGACTTCTAGAAAAGACAGCAGTATCCATGGAAACCAGCTGACACAAC